CACTCAGCTCCCCTGATGACATGGCAATCCATGCAGTTGGACAGGTCTTGTTCCCGGACCATTGCATAGTCGATGCAGTGCCACCGCTTCGAGCGGGGATGTTGCCAGGTACACTTGTGGATGTTACGTTTCATGAACCAGGTGTTGCACACAGTAAGGCTGTTGCACGCTAAAAACTGGAGAAGCTCAGCGCCAGCCTCATTGACAGTGCCAACACCATGTGGGCCACGTGTTCCATACCAGCCATCGTCACAGATTTCAGCTCCAACTCTAGCGTTGAAGTCTCCCAAGATTATCAAGGAGTCCTGGGTGGGTACGGACAGAATAACTTCCTGAAGAGAGTCAAAGAAATCGTTCTTTGCATCGCGACTGGACCGGAAAGTCGGTGCGTAGCACACCACGACGTGGACCCAAATGTCACCGAACTTTAGCTTGCAGCGTGCGACACGCGATGAGACAGCAGACCACTGATTTCCCCCTGCTTTTCCCCCTGCTACGAACGCTTGCTGTGCGCGTCCGCGTAGTACGACTCCAACTCCTTCGCCTCGTTTGAAATCGTCCGTTGGGATGGCGCGACCTGACGTGAGAACAATTGCATCCTCGACACGGAATATATCTTTACCAAACCACTTCGACTCCTGGAATCCAGCCACTTCTATTTCGTACCGACGAAGTTCACTGACAACGATGTTGATTTTCTTGTCTTCCACGACGCGCTTTCCACGAGCAGCAGTTGAAACCGGGCCATCGATGTTCACTAAAGTCCTGACGTTCCACGAAGCAAATTTGACAAGAGCACCAGCTGGGCGCCTCCGACGGGTGCCTCCAAACTCTGGCTGCTTTGAAGCTGAAACTCTACACATCCGAGGGGTAGCTAGCCCACTGCGGATGGAGGACTACGGACGACGCGACAGTGACAATATCAAATTCAAATAATTGTCCTGTAAGTCACGTCGTTGGATCCGCTGCCCTAAATTCAAAAGGTCTACACTTGACACGCCAGGGGCTCTCCTAGCAAGCTAGGAGAGCCCTGAGTGTACCTACGCTGCTTCGGAGGCTCTAACTAGTCTCAGCAAATAGAAAAATTCCGGAGCTAGAAAAATTCAAACTGTCCCCCAAGAAGACAGTCCACACACACACACACACACACACACACACACACACACACACACACACACACACACACACACACACACACACACACACACACACACACACACACACACACACACACACACACACACACACACACACACACACACACACACACACACACACACACACACACACACACACACACACACACACACACACACACACACACACACACACACACACACACACACACACACACACACACACACACACACACACACACACACACACACACACACACACACACACACACACACACACACACACACACACACACACACACACACACACACACACACACACACACACACACACACACACACACACACACACACACACACACACACACACACACACACACACACACACACACACACACACACACACACACACACACACACACACACACACACACACACACACACACACACACACACACACACACACACACACACACACACACACACACACACACACACACACACACACACACACACACACACACACACACACCTGTTCCTGTTCCTGTTCCTGTTCAGCACTGCCACAAGGGCCACGTGGCTCTCCTTAAGAGAGAACCGGGGAGGAGGGAGGCCGCTGGCATCTGTGTCGGGTGAGGTCGCTCCCGCGGCGAAAACGGCGGCCACAGTCGGGGCAGGACCATTCAAATGTCAATCGTGTTGCTGCAGTCGGGCGATGCGTACTACGGTGGCATTTGTGTCGTGATCTGTCAGACGGTCTGGCGAAACAGCGGTCACATGTGGGGCAGTGAGCTGCGCAACAGTCCCTTGCAATAGCTTGGGGATGGTCTTCACGGGGCTGAGGATCATGGGGTGTGCATTTATGCCGCGATAGCCCACCACGGCTGCGTAGCCACCGTTGACATTGGGGACATTGCACTGCACCGCGCTGCTCTGCTATGGGCTTGGCCCTTTCATCCAAGCACTTGTGACGGCGCTTGTCCGAAGGCCTGCTAAATACGCGTCGGCAGACAAGACATTGCACATTACGCACTGGTGACGAAGCTGGTTCCAGCTCACGGTAGATGTTCCTCCACCCTGGTCGTGACTGGGTATCTTCTGGCCAAGAGTCCTGTACGTCACATCGCTGTAGATCCGGACTCAGAGCGTCTCGCCAGCGCTTTCGTGGGCCGCATGCAGGTCGGGTCTCCGGTCGGCAGCCGAACAGAACAACCCGGGGTGTCCGTTCCATATCCATGCGCATAACGTGGCCAAACCATTCCAAACGGCGTTGCACAATCCGGTCCTTGATGGGCAGGGGTCTGGCATCATTCCACTGCTCCAGGATGGTGGTGTTGCTGATGTGGAAGTCCCAGACGTCAGAGCGTGACACACCCATGATGGTGCGGAGGCATCTCATGTAAAAAGATGACAGCTTGGCAATATCGGCTTGGAGTGGTACCCAGCACTCAGACGCATACAGCAGCAAGCTCAGCACACACGCCTCAAACACTGTTCGCTTGGTGGCCAGCGTTAGATTGTTATCCCGAAACACTGGGCGACTCAGAACGCCAAAGGCACGTGATGCAGCAGCTATCCTGGACTCGATATCCCGGGAGCAGCGGCCATCAGCGTGGATATTAGTTCCGAGGTAGCGAAACTCAGAGACCACCTCCACCGCATGGCCATTCAACATCAGCGGGCGCACATCCTCTTCAGTAACATGATGACCGGTGACCATGAGCTTGGTTTTCTCTAGGTTAACTTTGAGACCGAATGCACCTGCCACCTCAACAAATGCCGTTAGGCAAGTCTCTATTGCCTCCCGACGCGTGGCCATCAGGGCAGAGTCATCTGCAAATTGGCAGTCAAGGATGGAACGTCTAGTGTCTGTGCGGTGTCGTCGGAAGAACAGACGTTGCCTTGCATTAGTATGAATCGGAACACCAGCTCCGGGGATATCTGCGACGCGGGCATACCACCGTTGGAAGACTGCCCACATGAAGATGTTAAATAATGTGGGAGCCATGGAGCAACCTTGACGGAGGCCATTCCCCACAGCAAATGGATCGAGTCTATCACCATCAACGCAAATTGTAGCCTGCATAGAGGTGTGGAAGGACTGAACAATGGATAGGAGACGGGGAGGAACACCAGCTTTCTCCAGTACGCGCCACAGGCAATCCCGACTGACAGAGTCATAAGCCTTGCGGAGGTCGATGAACAGGAGGAAAGCT